TATAGTAGGTATTGAGATAAAATTCTTCCGTTGAATTTTTAAATATTATTGATCGTTTATTTGTCTGTAAAATTGAGTGCTCCATTATTTCAGCGGGAGATGGACGGAGAGCTTAGATTGTAACATTAGATTAAGTTTAGGATTTAAATTAATCAAATTAGAATCTTGGGGTTTAATTTCAAAAATCTAATTTTTTTTTTTAAATTTACCCTTCACTTTAATATATAGAAAGAAAAAAAAAAATACAAGCAATGATAATTTGATATGAATAAAAATTTATGCATACTAAAATAGTATGAATAGGTTGGCTATATATGTTTAAAAAATGATGAAGCGAAAGGAACTTCAATTTGTCAAGAAATTGCTAAATTTTACTTTGAAATGTCACTTTCAAAATGGGTTTTGTAATTGTATAATTTAAAATTACATTTTCAAAATGCGAGTTTATATTGAAATCACAATTTAAAAATGCAATTTCAACTTGCCATATTATTACAGTAGAAGCCATATCAACTTGAAATCGCATCTTTAACATGCGATTTCAACTTGCTACATCAATGCATCATAAGCCATGTTGACTTGAAATCGTATGCAATTTCAATGTTCAAAATGTAATTTCAAAAGTGGATTAATTCTTTAAATAGTTTGAAAAGTTTGTCAATTCTCTATTTTTATTTTTTTAGAATATTCAGGGAAAAATTAAAAACCTCAATAAACAAATAGCATATTCTTTCTTAAGTCCATAACTAAATTTTAGGGAGGAATATATTTTAGGATTAATGCCCCAGACCCCCTGTACTTCCCCACCCCAGTGACCCCTAGTCCCACGTGGGCTGGGTGATTGGAAGAAAAAAAAAAAAGACTGTCCAATGAAATGCCAATGGAGGTGCTGGTGTAGACGCGCCCGCGTGAGGCCTTCATGCTACAGTTCGGACTCAATTTGTGTCACGGTTCTTAATCTGAACCAAAGAGTCCAAATCCGGCAAATCGTTTTGAGAAAAACAGATTTTTTTTGAAAGAAGTGCCAAACATGGACTGCTTTGCCAGATACAGAGTCGCCGCCTAAATATTTTTTTAATGGGGAAATTTAGGAAACCCTGACTCGGTGCCAAAGGCCACGCGTCTGTCATCACCAAAGTTGCCTCGGCTCGGAAACTTGGGTACGATCGAGGAAGGTTAGCTATGAGCACCCCCTCTCGCCCGATCCGAAGATCGGCCTCTACTAACCATGATATCCGATTTTGAAAACGTTGCGTGTACTTATCCCGATTATTAGCCTAGAATTACTATGTTATGCGCACAGTACAAAAGTATAGACTAGATCGTCTAATTTGGAAATAAGCATTGCATATCCGTTTGTTTTGAAAAATGTTTTGGAATTTGCTATTCGCAAGTAGGCTAAAACACGGATTTCAATGAGCTGTTCCAACTCAGACAATTCAACCTTCACCCACAGGCATTCAGACAATTTATAACACATAAGCATCTAGCCACATGGTAAGCATGCTGTTATGTCAACTTCCACACGCATGCGGTATGCTAAAGTATAAATACTTACATAGTACTCCAAGCCAAAACAGGGAACTCGTTAGCAAATCAATGTATGATCTAAGTCCATGTTAAGTGCCTAATGCAACGCATACAAAATGTCACTAGAATAGGCTCGGCTAATCTAGAAGTGGCATGTGAAATGCACCAACATCATGTATTCAAGTTAGATTTGAAATACTAATGCAGTTAGCATGATGCGCCGAATCCGGCGCATGCAATACTGATGAATGATGCATGTATGCATAGCATAAGGTATGCTAAATTAAACATGACCTATTACTAACCATCAAAGCAGGTAAGCAAAAGGGAGAAAGAAGTGGGGGTTGGAAGACATGCACACACTCACCCACACTTATTACAAATCCACCCTCGCTCGGAGGGACCGAAAGAATAATACAAATTAACTAACTCGCAAGATAATTAATTATTACAAATCACCTAATTAATTAACAAATTAACTAAGCTAAGAAAAGCAATAAAAAAAGGGGCCTCGGGAAGAGGGTCCAATGCACGCATGCTCGGGTCTTGCTCAGAAGTCCAATGCCATGCACAAGCCGCCTCTGTTTTCTCTGCTCTGCTTCTGTGAAGACTGCCAAAGTCTCAGGATGTGCTCACTGGATGTTGGGGAATGCCACCGGCTGGAGGGAATCATCATCGACTGTGATTTGGTGTCGATCGGCCAAAAATGAATCCATCGGCCACCGATAGATTGCCGGCCGGCACTCTGTGCAGTCGATCGGCAAAAAGTTCCTGCATAATCCGTTTGACAGCAGCAGAGGACAGAGCTTTGCATGGCAATGCAATTCAAGCAATGTATGCACCAACCATATCCCTTATCATGTTTATGACTCAAAGGGACATGATCCTCGATTCTCGGGCCACCAATCACGCATTTCGATGCATGATGGCCCAAAGAATCGAGTGTGCAACTTCAATTTCAAATGTAATGCAATGCAAATAAACAAGCAAAGGGGCTCAACCTCTATCATGCTCAACTCAAGAGGTATAGCATGCATATTAATGCAATGCAATCCTAAGCATGTGAGCTAGCATGCAACATAGGCAATGCAATGTGTACATGCAAGTATGCAAGCAAACATACAAGAGGAGGATGCAAACAAGCAAGGAGACGGACTTAAACTAAATTAGGCCACTCTCAAACAAGCCTAAATCAGCGGCCAAAGTGCTCAAACATAAGGGCCACGCATGCACATGTTAAGACCTAAACACTTAAGCATCGAACGATATCCTTTAAGCACACTTTAAGGGGAATAATCACGGACATATGGCATGCATTGGAAGCTTTAAAATCATGCTAAATATGATACCAAATCGATTAAACATGACAAGCCAAGGCATGCAACCAAAGTCCCAAAACTCAAAGTAAGCTAAGGGGCATTAAACAACCCTTGACAAAACCAAACATGGCATGCATTAAACAACTAAAATCAGATTTCTAGCATGTTAAAACAAAGCCAAAAGACTACTTAGATGATATCTAAGAGGCCTAAACATGCAAGCGCACCAAAGAGGCTAAACATGAAGCATGGAATGTCGACCTTTGAACACACTTAAGGGACATCAAATGCAACCACACGAGCATGCTAAGTGGGCTGAAATAACATGGCAAGTGGTTCTAAACCACTGAAATGAGGCAAGGATGCATGCTACACACTCACACCCTTGAAGCCTACAAGCTAAAATGCAAAGAGGCTATGCAATGCATGCTAAAGTCGACCCAAACGACTAAGGACAGACCTTAAACATGGCAAAATAAACATGAAAGCTTCACAAAGCTAAGCCTAAAGCATCCTAGAACAATGGTTTACAACCTAAGGCATGTTAAAGCAACAAAATGGCATTACAAGGCATGTATGCTAAGCAAGCATGGTGTACCAAAACCAACTTAAAACAATGCTATATCATGGCATAATAAGCATAAAAAACAGCCAAGGCATGGTCAACATGAGCCTAAGCTAGGTGCTTCCTCAAGAGGTAAAAAATGATCTTTTTCAAGGACAACAAGGAGAGGGGTTGGCCCTCTCTTTCTTGGGACCTCAAGGCACCATCCTCACCTCTGAAATCCCTCAAGATTTCAGTGGTGAGGAGGCCCAAATACAATGATCCCGGAGCTCAACCAAAATGGCACAAAATGGAGCCTTTCAAGGCTTAAGAGGGGTCAAACAACCCCAAAGCTTGAAACACCCTTAAGCAACTACTTAGAGCAAGTAAAAACACAACTTTTATATGTTATACACTAAGCTCAAAAACAGATGCAAGATAGGTAAATAAGCTATGCAAAAATGGGAGAAAAGGGACAAGTTTCTTACCCTTGTAGACTCTTTTCACAAATGGTGGACCAGCAATGTCCTTAGGTCCAAACCAGCTCCAAAACTTCAAAAACAACCCTCTAGAACCTCAGTTCCAAGAGAAAGGTGTAGTAGTAGGTGTTTGTGTGCAATACTAAGGCCTAAAACACACACAAATATACCAAGAAAGAGAGATATAGAGATGGGATATATACAAACCCTAACCCTAGAACTCAAAGCTCTGAAAAATAATGCCTAACTTGTCTAATTTTGTCTAACCCTTCAACAAGAGAGAAGACCCTCTCTTTTGTAGATAAAATGGTCTTGTAAAGCTTCCAAATGAAGCTAACAAGAGGGCAATCCCTCCATACACGTGTATGGAGGGGGTGAAAGTGTATGCCAGATGCACAAAAATATCTGCAAAAGCAGATGCACAATAGTCGGCCGGCCAAAAATGCAATTGACCAAAAAAAGATAGCCGGCCGGCCATATATAGTGCTGGCCGGCCAAACATTTGGCCGGTGGAAGCAAAACACAGCCGGTGGCCTCAAGCCCTGGCCGGTGATATGTGGGGATGGCCTACAAGCCATTCCCTGCCCCTCCAAGGCAAAGCACAAGTGTTTGGTGCAAAACCAAACACAAAACAGTCGAGTCGAGAGGTCCTGAGGCAAGGTGCGTAGCCGAGACCTCCGGGAACTCAAGACGAACACAAACATGGATGATCACCGAGTGTTCAAGCGGTAACGTCCAAGTCTTGAGGACGGTAAAAAATGGGGTGTCTACAGCTGGGTCCCTAGCATAGTTGATATTTTAGACATCAAAAAAAAAAAAAGAGGGGAAGAACTCGTTTCATTATCTTGAGATGTTGAACCATTGAGTTTCCACTCAATAATATGGTTGGATTGTTTGGATAAGAGTTCAACTACTCTTAGTTGAATAATTGATTTTAGGGTAAATTATGCAATAGTCCCTATAGTTTACACGATTTGTCAATTTGGTCTATATTATTTTAATTTGTTCGATTTTTCCCTTTAATTTAACGGATTGTGTCATTTTAGTCCAATAAATAATGGTTGTTAAGTTTGGTGGACGGAAAATCAAACTATGTGTCAATTTGGTCTATATAGTTTACACAATATATCAATTTGATCCCTGTCAAAATCAAGCAAATTAAAATAATAGGGATTAAATTGACACATTGTGTAAATTATAAGGACTAAATTGACACATTGTATAGATTTTCGGTCCACCAAATTTAACAACCGTTATTTATTGGAATAAAATGACACAATCTGTTAAATTAAGGGGCAAAATCGAGCAAACTGAAATAACAAGAACTAAATTGACACATTATGTAAACTACAAGACCATTTACATAATTACGCTTGATTTTATAAGAAGTGACTTTGTTTTGTTATTTAAGAGAATTCTAACTCTTTGGATAAATTGTGATAAATCAAATTGTTCTTCAAGAAAAGTTAGAGATACCACAACAATACAAAGATCATAGTGAAAATAACTAAACCATTTCAGAATACATCAAAATTGAATGGCTCACCACTCCTAATCATAATAAAGTCATAATGTTGTATCACTTTCGAGTTTAAATTCTTATTGAAAGAGCACAAGCTCAATTAGGCAGCGCCATCAAGCTTACGTATGTAGGAGAGGGTTCAAGAAAAGAGTTAGAAAATTCGAAGATCTTCGAAGATCCTTGAAGAACAACTTCGAATTCTCTAGAATATGATGAGAGGCTTAGATTCTTCAATAATCTCAACTTAGGAACACAACAACAAAGGAGATGATGGAGATAAGAAATTGGGTGAAGAAGAAGGAAAAATGGCTAGAGAATAGAATAATGGCAAGGCTCTCCCATTGATCTCCCACTTTCACTCTCAAGGTTGATAATGGAGAAGGGAAATTAGTTCTTTCCCAAGAATTCAAAAATCTCCAAAATCCCTCCCTTGTAAAGCTATGGGTGGGTGCTATTTATAGGCACCTCATGATGTAGGATGGAGCCCATGTGCAAGGCACATGGGGGATATTCTCTCTAACCACCTTGTCCGAGGAGGTGACCTCTCCCGCATAAAACTTATGGACTTTACTGTTCACAGATATCCAACTGCACCCAGGTTCCTTCTTCACACCTCGCTCTTTCATTAGTTTTCTCATACTAATTCCATCCCTAAAACTTCCCACCTCCATGTATGTGTTGGATAAAAGAACATACGTAGCTGAATAATCTGGTCGAATGGAAAGGATCTTCTTGGCAGCAATCTCTCCCAGCTCAACATTGTTGTGGACCCTGCACACTCCTAACAATGTCTGCCAAATCATATCATTTGGTTCAATTGGCATTTTTTGTATAAATTCCAAGGCCTCATTTAGGCAGCCTGCACGACCTAAGAGGTCAACAATACAAGCATAATGCTCCATCTTGGGAACCACACCATACGTTTCCTCCATCAATCGGAAATAGTAAAGGCCTTCTTCTACCAAGCCACCATGGCTACACGCAAACAGAACACACAACAATGAAACAGCATTAGGTTTAATACCAAACTGTTCCATCCCTTTGAAAAGATGAAGGGCATGACCCACATCCCTTTCGAGTCCGGGCCCGAGTAAGTCTCTAAGTTCGTGGATTCGAACCCTTTCGAGGCTTAGAGCCATTTAGCCCGTTTGATGGTGATAAATTTAGGCCCACCGATTCTTGGACTTGCGATAAATTTGGGCCCATCAACCTTAGATTATTGGGCCTAATTAATTTAGTGGGCTTAAACTTAACTCCTCTTACATTTGCCCCTTGCGTGTATGAGAAATTGTAATTTTCTCGGACATGCATAATTTCACCTTATCAGCCATACTTCACATCATGTCTTCGAGAATATTTGGCCTTGATAAAATCTATGGATAAAAACTGAGGACTCACTGTAAATTACGGATAAAATTGACAACTAATATTATTATTATTATTTTTTTTTTGGAACTTTTTTTTTTTTTTTGGAAAGAAAATCAAAACTTGAATTGTTTAATGCCCCACCAAACCAACCTGGACATGTAATTCATACCGCAACAACTAAATTGCCAAAGAAAATAATAATAATAATAATTTTATTTATTTATTTTTTTTTTTGCAACTTTTTTTTTTTTTTTTTTCGAGAATAAACAAATCAGAAAGCTGACCCCCCTTTTTTTACAATATATAAACATATTGCTTTTTTAGGCATTCTCTCTCTAGAAACTTCAAACCCAAAAAATAATTTTTCCATTAGCAAACAAACAGGTCCTATATCATGATGACCCATGTGATTTCTCTCTTTACAAAAGTGGAAACCCACTTTTTTTTTTAAATTGGAAAACCGTGAACCGTTATATGTATATATATATATATATATGCAAAATATTTGAGAGGATAGGCCATCACACCCCTTTTTTTTATTCTATTTAAAGAAAGAGATAACAATCCTAATCAATACCTCTAACCTTTTTGACATAGCCATGTCGGCTGAACAGCCTCAAAACTTTTCTGATCCTCTCCATCAAGCTCTGGCATAACCATTTCTACTACTACATCTGGGTCTTCTTCGTTACCCTCCTCCTTTCTCTACACTGGGACAAAACCCAAGCTTGCTTTGGACTCCATTTGAAGACTACCGCTGCCGCTTCTCTAAATCAAGAAAGCAGACACCACAAATTTTTTTATTTTGTGTACAGGAGATCAAAATTCAAGGACCCATTTCGGCACCCAGCTTTCTTCTTCAGCGTTCCTCAGCTAACAAACCAAATCGTGGCCAGCTTGCTTTGCAACTACTAAAGACCACCGACGTCACCGACACACCGATGCCGACTCCTCTGCAACGTCATCATTTTCCAACCTCGCCAAAATAGTGCCGTCGTTGGTTCGGCTGTGCGTCGTCCTCGTCGGGGCCGTGCCATGCTTCCACAGTGCTCACTCTACACCTCACTTCACTAAAAAATTTTTTTTATTTTTTTTTTATTTGCAGGAGATCAAACTCCAAGGACCCATTTGGGCACACTCTCTCTCCAAACTGAGACCAACCCAAACTTCATCTTCTTCAAAGAAGCTCCGTAGCTGATCAGTGACGACCACGCCGCCCACTCAACGCGGTGTCGGTCTGTCGATATGCTTTCTCGCCCACTGAAATTCATCACTGTTAGCCGTGACCCGCCAACGCCGACCACATCACCGATTCAACGTGGTGTTGGTCTGCCTAATTGTTCCACCACCTACATACGCTGCTTCTAATCTTCAGTCTCTTTATCGCTTGTACAGGCTACATGTTGTGCCGCTGACTTACTCTCTCTTCCTATATTTTTGAATCTGTGGGTAAGCTTTTATGAAGACTCATTTCTGTACTTCACAAAACACATTTATGAACTTCTTGCAATGGATCTTCAAATGCTAATCTTCTTTTGTGAGTCTGGAGTTTCTGATTGTTGCTCATTTTTTTTTTCTTTGAGAAAGAGAATAAGACTCTGTTAAATCCATATTAATTGCTTGGCCATGGAGAGAAAAGAAATGCTCTGATATTGAATTTTGCTAATCTTTGTTTTACAGAGGTAGCTGAATCACCGAGTTTGAACATAAATATCTGTTGATAATGCTTGATAAAATACATTTTGAATCCTCAATTGGGATTTGAACTATACTGCTGAGACTCGTTAAATCCGAGAATGATGAAATTTTACTGCTCACTTATGTGTTTGAACCACTGTTACCAAATCTTGAACTCATGTTGACAAATCTAACTTAAATAGAATATTTGATGCTTGCATTGAAATATTGATGTCAAGGGTGGAGATGTGATAGGAATGATGTCACGCTTGATGCCTTGCGCCAAGACCGAACCAGCCTACCATCGGCCTCTCTTTGCTGAAACTCTTCCTCCGGCTTCGACGGTCCAATGCAAACCACACACGTTCGCCCTCTCAACGCAACGTGTGTGGTTGCTGACTCTTCTGTGGTACCAGCGTTGATTCCGGCTTCAACTTGTCTGACGCCGACCACGCACGTTCGCCCACTCAACGCAACGTGTGTGGTCTTGCCAAGCCTAGCCCAGCCTTGTTGATTACAGTCTGTAAAGCCTCTCTGATTTCAGCTTATATTTCCAACATCGGCCTCGGATATCACCCCCCTTAACTGTGGCTTTCTCTTCCTCTTGTATATACATATATTTTGTGGTAGTTTTGTATATACATATATCAGAATTTATGATTCCAATGACACACATTCTTCTTTTAACAGGTTAGAGACTGAAGCCGTGTGTACGTTGATTACTATTGCAGGGCCAAATTCAATCTGCTATTGAAGCCATGTGTACATTGTTGGTTTCAATCTGCTGCTACTTCATCGCCAATCACTGTTGGCTTCTCTCTGCTGGTAATCCTCTTTCACTGATTTTTTTATTTTTTATTTTTACAACAACTTAGAATATTGATAATTACATTTTCACTTCTCCAAGTATTTCTCCAAGTAAAAGAAATAAGAATTAAGAAATCAATTTTTTTTTTTTTTTTTAACAAGATAAAGCCACACTTTTTTTTAAAATACAGCAGGATCACTTTTTTTTTTTTCAAGTCAAAGGTAATAAAAGCAAAGCACTCACCTATTTTTTATTTAAAAAAAAAGGTAAGGCTCAAACATTTTTTCATGGCTTAGAAGTGAATACGGCAGCCTCTTTTATATATACATATATATATATTCAAAATATTTGATAAAATATTCCATGCATCAAACCTTTTTGTTTTTTATTTAAAGAAAGAGATAACAACCCTAATTCATAGCTCAACTTTTTTATTGTTGCCCACAGCCGTTTTGCCTTTCTCTCTCTACAGAGGCCAACCCAGGCTTTTCTTTTTCTTTTAGAAGGCTCTGTTTGTTCAACACCAGAAGCCACTGCCATATTCTCCTTCTTCAATAAACTAGGGGCTGCTGCAATACCAGAGGCCAACATCATACCAGAGCTTCTTCATGTTTTTGCAACCCGTTGAAGACCACTGCCGCTGGCCTCCTCCTTTAACATTCTTTAATCGGAGCAACAACTCAGTGCTCTTCTCTTTCTGGTTATGCTTTTCTCTCTTTGAAGTATTAACGAATCAACTCTTATTATTTTCCAGGTTGCCCACTGTCGCGGATCCGATTGTTGCCGATGCCACTATCCGAGCTACTGTTAGCACATTCCGACACTAGCTCTACTCCACCCTCAGTATTTCACTCCAGTCCAGCATCAATTTCTTAGAGCTCCGGACTCACCAGAGCTTAATCTTGCTTCCACAGTCGCCGAAGATCCAACCACTGTCACGGTAGGCCAGCACCAGCTCATCACGGCTGCTCCCTCCTCGTGTTGCTAGCATCCTGTCGCATCTCTACCTACTGTGCATTTGAAGTAATAAAGAATCAGCTTCCAAGTGGTGTCTTATATCAGTTTGCCCCATTTGATATACCTGCTGCCATGGATGCTTTTCTTGGTCATTGGAAGCCAAATGCGATCATGCTAATGGAAAGTGAACTTTGGCCAAATTTGATTATGTGTGCCTCCAAAAATGGTATTGCATTGGCATTGTTAAATGCTCGGATGTCTCAGCTCTAACTGCAACTGACCAGTGATGACCACGCTGCCCACTCAACGCAGCGTCGGTCTGTCGATTGCCCACTGAAATCCATCACTGTTAGCTATGACCCGCCAACGCCGACCACACCACCGATTCAACGTGGTGTTGGTCTGCCTAGTTGTTCCAGTGCTTTGCCTTCGTCTTCTGCTGTTCAACGCGAACCACACGTCGCCCACTCAACGCGATGTGTGGTTTTGCCTAACACCATCCAGCTCGTTAGTCTCACAGCCCGGCGCTATTTTTCGGAGTTTGAATCTCGGT